TGGGGGGGAAAAAGAGGAACAAATGTAATAATCTGAACAATAAAGATTTAATTTAAAAAAAATACATTTTAAAACAAAGGCTATACTAAGAGACAAAGAAGGACATTTCATACACAATAGCCAAAAAATGAAAACAACTTAAGTGTCCATCAATAGACAATTGGATAAAGAAAAGGTGGTACATATATATACATATATGCAATGAAATATTACTCAGCCTAAAAAAAAGAATGAAATCTTATCTTTTGCACCAATATGGATGGACCTAGAAGTTATTATGTTAAGTGAACTAGGTCAGACAGTGAAAGACAAATACCATATTATTTCACCAAAACCAAAAAAAAAAAGAACAACAATCAAAATAAATAAACTTGTAGATACACAGAACAAATGGAAGGTTGCCAGATGGAAGGGTGTTAGGTGGCTGGATGAAAAAGGTGAGGGAATCAAAAAGTACGAATTGGCAGTTTCAAAATAGTCACAGGGATGTACAGCTTCGGGAATATAGTCAATAACATTGTAATAACTGTGTATGGTGCTAAGTGGATACTAGACTTATCAGGGTTGATCACTTCATAAGTTATATTAATGCCTAATCACTATGCTGGACATCTGAAACTAATACAATATTGAATGTCAACTGTAATTGAAAATTTTTAAAAATTAAATTAAAAAAAAAAAAAGAATCTGGGGCCCCACCTTAGAGCAACTGAACGCAAATCTGCAACTTCCCAGGAGCCCCAGGTGATTGATACAGGCAGGGTGTGAAGCCCTGGCCCCCAAGCCCGTTCCCTCCGTGGTCAGATGAGGGTGGTACTCCCGACCTGATCACCCAGTAGGTGTGATGCTGGAGAGCAGATGAGCTGATATCACACACATACACATGGTTTTAAACTGCAAACCTCTGCACAAATGCCAAGACCTAAAGTGCCTTCCGATGTGAAATACGGGAATGGCTGTGGTGGTGGTACACGAAACGCTTCTTGGTTAATGGTGATTACTGTAATGGGATTGCTCTTTCCTGGTCTTTCTCCTGATGCCCTCATGATATTTTCCAGATTATGACCTTTCGAAGATGAAGGACTTCATCAACCAACAAACGGAAGCTTATGTGGAGAAAGGCATCCTTGATAAAGAAGAAGCCGATGCCATCAAGCGTATTTACAGCAGCCTGTGAAAATGGCAAAATGGTCCAGGAGTCTTTCCACTGTGTCAGAAGACATAATATAGCTTAAAACTCTCCTAATTTTGTGATTAAAGTTATTTTGACCCACGGAGTGTTAGAAAGTGCTGGATTTATAGTAGATAACCTTTCAGAAGTGGTTAAGACATAGCTTTCTTGCCATAAAAACTATCTGAAAAGTAACGTTGTAAGCTGAGATTTTGTATATAGAATCCTTATTTCCTTGTAGATTTACATTTTTATAATCAGAGATGGGTTGCTTTGGAAAAGCCTGTAATGGACTGACCTTAAAACTGAACCTTTTTCCTACTGTGTCACACATATAAGCACCCCCTGAAGAAGTGGGGGTTGGTTCTGTTTCAAGGCATGCTGGTTAACAAAGCACCTCATAGCATATCTGTTACAAGATGTCCTTTTCTCTACCAGTTCCCTTTTGGTTGAAATAAATTCACATTCCCTCAAAGCCTCTATAGCTTGAAGGAAGCTACCTGCTTTTTTTCTTTGCTTTTTTTAAATAGGTAACTTTCTCTTATTTTAAATATGTTTTTATTGATTTGAAAGAGGGAGGAAGGAAAAGGGAGAGATAGAAACATCAATGAAAGAGAAACATCAACATCGATGAATTGATCAGCTGCCTCCTGCATGCCCTCTACTGGGGATCAAGCCCAAAACCCAGGCATGTGCCCTGACCAGGAATCAAACTGGCAACCTCCTGGTGCATGGGTCAACTTCTGAGCTACACTAGCCAGGCTGCCTTTTTTTTTTTTTTCTTACGGCTCTTCCTGCTAGTTCTGTATCAGGCCGAATAGCACGAAAAGGAACCTGGAAAATGGGCATAGGATTTTCTGGATTTATTAACAATTTCCCCCCACTCAATATTTTCTATTAGTGAGTTTTAAGACATTGATTTTGTTTATTATGAGGGATAACTATAGCTCTAGTTGGTTTGGCTCAGTGGATAGGGCATTGGCCTATGGACTGAAGGGTCCCGGGTTCGATTCCAGTCAAGGGCACATGCCCGGGTTGCAGGCTCAATCCTTAGTAGGGGGTGTGCAGGAGGCAGCCAATCAATGATTCTCTGTCATCATTGATGTTTCTATCTCTCCCGTTCCCTTCCTCTCTGCAATCAGTAAAAAAAATAATAGTAATTTTAAAAAAAATTTGAGAGATAACTATGTACTCTCCAGGCAGAAAATGAGGTCATAAACACTACATAAAGTGAGGTAAAAATGTATGCCAGCTCTGAGTTTTCTAAACTGGATTTGATCCAAGCCAGGATTTCTCAGCAGATGGCAAGAGGGCCAGATAAAAATCATTTCCTTCCATGTGAACCATAGCTGGTTAGCTGAGGTTCCCTGGAGGAAAACAATATCAAACCTCTGGTCCCTGCAAATCCTCTTCCTCAGCCACCACCGCAACTTGCCCAGGGTCCTCCTGAAATGTTAGTGGAGAATGTTCCCAAAGCAAAGAATGCTTTGAAAATGGGTTATGCGGCATAAATTACATATTTTCCTGTATATTTCAGTTGAAAAATCATAAAAATCACATAATGCTTTGTGTATTAGCTGCCACTACTTTAAAAGGCCGTCTGATACTGGTCTTAAATGCCCCTCCTTGGCATCTAGTTTTTGGTAAGGACTGGGAACTTACAGGGAAAATGGAAGAGGCTGTTTTCAGGGTAGGAGACCCCTGCTGCTCCTCCCATCCTCTCTAGAGTTGCAAAAATAAAGAAAAACCAAAGTCTGGCACGCCAAAAAACCTCAACTCTTTATGTAATCTATTCTAACTCTACTTACCAATACTCATTGGTAAGTGGTGAGAGGAAGCTAAAAACACCTTTGCGCAAACTACACTTGCCAAAGCATGATGAATCAGACTTGTTTTAATGTCATCCTTGGTAACGTGACTGGCACTACTTCCCCCATGTCCTGTAGTCCAAATGGGCTGCTTCTACATCAAGAGAGAAAAAACTTGCTGTGATGAAAGCATTTTACCTATTTGCTTTTCTGTAACTCGTCTAAATATCTGCAGTATTTTTAAAAATAAGAAATTCGTGAGTTTATTGTAACTTTCTGAGCCCACAGACATTCATTAGCTACTATTGATACCCAAGACAAAAGGGAGATCTTCAATCCTGTTTTATAGGTAAGAAAACTGGTTTGCAAAACATAAACATGGGCACAGGATATGCTCAAACTCATATGGCCAAGGAGTGGTAAAGCTGAACCTAGAACCCAGGTTTTTTATCTCAGTCCATTCTTCCAGTGATTCCCCATGCAGGCAAGGACTAAACAACACCCATCCACGGCAATTTTACTGTAGCCACAATTCAAAGTTTTTAATAACTTGGAAAAGGAGAGAGATGTTTTGGCTAGAAATTGCTAAGAGAGACCCTTACACAAAAATAAAATACTCAGAAAACTGTTTTTGAGATGGTGGTCTTAATTTCAATTTTCAGCTTATGTTATAATCTTTGGATAATGTTTTTGGATTTATGCATTTTGGGTTACTCTCATATTTCAGATAAGTTTATGTTGAACAGCATGATAAGTTTACATTTTTTAAGTTCCTGGGCCTCCATAGAGGCCAGAGCTTTGTCTTATATACACAGCTGTTTTCCTTCATTTATTCTTTTAGTTTTTCTCCTCTTCCAACTAACTCCATATCATTCAGGTAATAGGATACAAGAAAACAGCAAAGCATGATCAAGAGATCACCCTCTATTATAGATGATAATAACATGAGAGAAAAAAAAAAACAAGAAATAAAAACGAGATGTTATCATTTTTAAAAATGAAGTAAAAAATGAGATTAAAAAAAAAAAACACCAAAATACACCCGGCAGGTGTGGCTCAGCTGGTTGAGCATCATCCCAGACACCAAGAGGTCACTGGTTCAATTCCCAGTCAGGGCACATGCCCAGGCTGCAGGCTCAGTCCCCAGGTGGGGGAGCGTGCAGGAGGCAGCTGATCAATGTTTCTTTCTCGTGAATGTTTCTATCTCTCTCTCCCTCTCCCTTCTCTCTCTAAAAACATAAATAAATAACAATAAACACACAAGGGATTATGTACATTGTGAACAAACAAGAAAATCAAGACAAGGACAAACAACTACCATTTCCCATTCATGCCTCACAGGTTGGTTCGGTGAGCTCTGATGCATTGGCACTTAAGGGCACAGTTTCGTGCTTAATGGAAGGAAGACCTAGAGGAGCAAGATGGAGAAGAAAGTCAGGAAGGAGAAGGGGGGGGAAGATAAGAAAGAAAGGTCCTTTTTGTCCCTCAAAAAGCAGATCCCTGTTGGGATGTTGGGAAGGAATAAATATGAAGAATTTTGTGAAAGCTTAAAGATTTATTTAACCCAACATTTGAATAGAAATTGAGACAAAAACATATTTAACTGTAAAGAATGTATTGCTTAAGGTTTCCTGCTGTAATCTATACGTATAATTAAAGTAAAACAATTGAAATTATAAAAACTGAACCCTTCATTCAGTGACTACAAAACACTCTATAAAGTGACTAATCAATGAAATTTAAACTAAAAGTCATCAATGTGTCAGGCCATGGTATTGCTTTTTTCTTCTATTGATCATATTCCATGTTCTCACTATATGTGAAACACATTAAGTCAAATATTATGATAGTGCATAGGTTACTAGTAACTGCAATTGATTTGCTTTTAGATTACTGAAACTTTTCAAAATTGCAATTAAAATAATAAAAAAACATAAAAGTAGAGGAAAAGCTGTCACTACTTCAAAAATATAACTTAAAATAAAAATTTTCTCATTTGTTAAAAAAATTGGAGACTCAAATGTAAAAACATAGTTTATTTTTTTAGACTTTGGTAGCTTACTTGTACAAAATAGCAGACAAAATTTGGTTCTCTATATTAATACAGAATATGTAATACATATTGAAATATATATATATAGCACTTAATTATAAACACAGCAATGTCCGCATCACTCAAACAGCAACCATGTTTTTCACATAATTAGGAATTCTCAAGAGATAAACCAATGTTTTTAGCTTGACTATGTAAGTCAGGGGTCCTCAAACTTTTTAAACAGGGGGCCAGTTCACTGTCCCTCAGACCGTTGGAGGGCCGGACTATAGTTTTAAAAAAAAAACTATGAACAAATTCCTATGCACACTGCACATATCTTATTTTGAAGTAAAAAAACAAAACAGGAACAAATACAATATTTGTATTTGCATGTGGCCCGCGGGCCGTAGTTTGAGGACCCCTGATGTAAGTAGTTTTTGATGCTTTATGTCAACTAGTATTTACAAAAGCAAGGTTAAAAACTACCAGCACCTACAAAAGTGATGAGCTTTTGTTATCATGCCATAATGCAGACTTAAAATTATAGAAAGCCAGAGGGAACCAATCACTTCAGTGCAGCTGCAACGGAACTACTTAATTGTGATTTAAAGATGTACACTCTGAGAACCCAAAAGAGGTGCTTTTGAATCTTCAGTTGTTGGTCTCCTTATGATTCAATTATCTCTTAATCCAGGTGCAATAGCATCATCTAGCTATGATAGAGTGAAGTTGCATAGGGATTATCTTCATCTCTGGAAAGGAAAAAAAAAGGAATATAGCATAAACTAGTGTTTAAAAACTGTATTCAGAAAACTAACACATATTTATCATACAACTTAATATCCACTTGACAAAGAAGTGCAGGTGTTATCAAATTATAATATTGTTCATGCATTAAAAGTTGTATGCAATACAAATACTCATTGAGGTGTACCTTACTGATTCCATTTTATTGGTGTCTCAGTTATTGGAAAAAATAATAGTACTTGCTATATATTTACATTTATTTATATTCTATTACATTTGCATAAAGTAATAAAATTTATATTAAATTATAAATTAATTATATTCTCATTTATATCTGTTTATATTTTTAATATTTCACTTCTTTCTCAAAAGGATTTGAAATGCCTATGACAAAGGGGATAAATATAATAAGATGAATAAAATAGAAATAAAAAATCAGGACTAAAGAAAAGATGGCTACAAATATCTTAACCATAAGAAATATTATAGTGGTTGAACTGAGCATCAATTTCAGTTGCAACCTTTCTGATAAGGGTAAAGAGGAAAGGTTGCCCTTCTTGGAATCAGGAAGGAAGAAGGAAACTAATTCTACAGGAGAGAGAAAGGTTTGCCGTAGTACCAAATTAAAGAACAAAGAAGAAAACTCACACGAGCAATGTAAGAAACATCTGAAAACAAACAATGGACAATGTCTTTGGCAAATTTTACAAGGATCAGTATTTTACAAAGTATTCTCTAGGGTACTGCTTCCTTTGGAGGTGTCAACTACATGTGTCCACTTGGCTGCTGCCCAGAATTCCTAGCTGGACAAGTTATGCTACTAAGCAAAGAAGCAAACCTACACTAATAAAAGAGAAAGATGCAAATTAACCATCACTCTGTCACTCCATCACTCCACTACACCCACAAGCTACGCCCACCAGCCAATCAGGAGTGAGTATGCAAATTAACCCAACTAAGATGGTGGTGGCCACAGAACTGGAGCAAGCGGGAGGCTTGGGCTGCCCCTGGCGATGGAGGAAGCCAAGCTTCCCGCCTGCCCTGGCTGGCCCTGGACTCTGCTCAAGGCTACAAAGTTTCAATTATAGAAGATAAATAAATCCCAGATACCTGCTTCCAGCCCGCCATGGCCTCCACTCAAGGAGGCACTGGAAAAAAAATAAAATAAAAAAATAAAAAAAGGAGAGGCTGGGAGCTTGGGTCGCCAGGGGGCATGGCCAGACTGAAAATGGCCATCAGCCCCTCACCCAGGCTGGCCAGGCACCCCAATGGGACCACCACCCTGATCCGGAATACCCTTCAGGGCAAACCAGCTGGCCCCCACCCATGCACCAGGCCTCTATCCTATATAATACAATAATGCAAACTGACCCTAACAGCAGAACAACTGGGAATGACTGGTCACTATGACACACACTGACCACCAGGGGGCAGATGCTCAATGCAGGTGGTCAGTGCACTCCCACAGGGGGAGCTCTGGTCAGCCACAAGCCAGGCTTACGGCTGCCAGAACAGCAGTGGTGGTGGGAGCCTCTCCCGCCTCTTCAGCAGCGCTAAGGATGTCCGACTGCAGCTTAGGCCTGCTCCCCGCTGGCAAGTGGACATCCCCTGAGGGCTGCCGGGCTGCCAGAGGGATGTCTGACTGCCAGCTTAGGCCCAATCCCCCGGGGAACAGGCCTAAGCCAGCAGGTGGTCATCCCCCAAGGGGTCCCAGACTGCAAGAGGGCACAGGCTGGGCTGAGGGACCCCCCAAGTGCACAAATTTTTGTGCACCAGGCCTCTAGTCCATATAATAAAAGCCTAAGCAACCGTTACGGCAGAACTACCAGAACGACTGGTCAGTCGCTATGATACGCACTGACCACCAGGGGACAGACACTCAATGCAAGAGTTGCCCCCTGGTGGTCAATGCGCTTCCACAGGGGGAGCGCCCCTCAGCCAAAAGCCAGGCTCACAACTAGCGAGCGCAGCAGCGGTGGCGGGATCCTCTCCTGCCTCCACAGCAGCACTAAGGAGCAGCAAGCTGAGCAGTAAGGAGCAGTGAGCAGGTGGACGGTAAGGAGCGAGGAGTCCTGGACTGTGAGAGGGATGTCCAACTGATGGCTTAGGCCTGCTCCCTTAGGGGGGTCGTAAGCCGGCAATTGGACATCCCCCGAGGGCTCCCGCCAGACTGCAAGAGGGCGCAGGCTGAGGGCCCCCTCCCCCCCCGCCAATGCATGAATTTCGTGCACCGGGCCTCTAGTTTTTATAATAACTCACAGACAAAGCATTACAACAGATCAAGCCTTATACAGAATACAATGACTGTTTATCTTTCATATATTAAAAATGCCTTTCTGGAATTAAAACATAGATTTTTAAAGCAAAAAAATAAAAATTTACCAAGTGTAAACATCTTAAGAGTAATTTATTCAGTCTGACATTTTACCAGCATATTTTTACCTGCTCTCTTCTTTTAGTTTCCTGGCTGCCTGTGTTGATAACTTAATCTGCAAGTCGAGTCTCTGCAGGAAATCTCTGGCTGACACTTCCTCGGGCGGCACTGGCTGAACAGGAGATGCCAGAGGACTGGGAGAAGGTGGGTCTTCCACAACTGCTACCAGCCCTTCTTCATGAGAAACAAGGCCATGGACAGTTTCACTTTCTGGAGAATCAATTGAGTTAAGTCCATTAAACAGCAAAGGCTTCTCTGAAATAACTGGGATGTTCAAAGTTTTCTTCAGAAATATGCAATCATTGGTAAACAGTTTATTTGCCCTTTTAATCTGTTCCATCTAAAATATAAAAAAGGAAACACAGAGTTACATATAAATAAACCCAGAAATATGGCTTATTACGCAACACAGAACTAAAGATATCCATAAAATAAAAACAAAATTTAAAAAGTAAAATAGCCCTAGCTGGTTTGGCTCAGTGGATAGAGCATCAGCCTGTGGACTGAAGGGTCCTGGGTTCGATTCCATTCATGGGCACATGCGTGAGTTGTGGGCTCAATCCCCAGTAGGGGGTGTGCAGGAGGCAGCCGATCAATGATTCCCTCTCATCATTGATGTTTCTCTCTCTCCCTCTCCCTTCCTCTCTGAAATTAATAAAAATGTTTTTTAAAAAAGTAAAACAAAAGTATCCATGAGCAAAATGTGTACAATGCTTTATCTGGGTTTGAGACTCTTAATTCTGGCTTTGCCACCTCCCCAGATACCCACAGTTATTTCAAGAGATGTCAGGAAACTCTGTCTCTCAATTTTAAAGCTGAAAAGACTAATTTCCCCCCACTATATGAATTGCCCTACAAGGCAGCTTTTACCAAGCAGTTTTAAATCCCTGAAGTTAAAAAAAAATACAGAATTTTCAGCACTTATTTAATAAATTCCATTCTTATTTTAACATTTCTATTATCTGATTTTTTTATGATCTACTAGAGGCCTGGTGCACAACATTTGTGCACGGGTGGGTCCCTCAGCCTGACCTGCGCCCTCTTGCAGTCCAGGACCCCTCAGGGGATGTCTGACTGCCAGGTTAGGCCTGCTCCCTGAGGGGTCCATAGCCCTTCCATGGAGGCGGAAGAGGCTCCTGCCACCACTTTTTTACTCACCAGCCGTGGGCCTGGCTTCTGGCTGAGCAGCGCTCCCCCTGTGGGAGCACACTGACCACCAAGGGGCAGCTCCTGCATTGAGCGTCTGCCCCCTGGTGGTCAGTGCGCATCATAGAGACTGGTGGTTCTGCCATTTGGTCGATTTACATATTAGGGTTTTATTACATAGGACTAGAGGCCCGGTGCACAAAAATTTGTGCACTGGAGGGGGCGTCCCTCAGCCCAGCCTGCCCCCTATCACATACTGGGAGCCCTCAGGGGATGTCCTACTCCCTGCTCCCTGCTCCCCTTGGGGAGCGGGCCTAAGCCACAGTCTGACCTCCCTTTATGGGAGGCAACTGGGCTGATCAGGGGAAGGCACCAACCCCATCACCCCACTGCTGCAGCCACTGCCTGCCACCGCAGCCAGCAAGGTTTTTTCATCAACACAGACTCCAGTCCCGTCACCATGAAAAAATGACAACTTTTTTTAGGCATTTTCAAGATGTGTCTTTCATAGGCTATGACATTTCTTTCTTTCTTTCTTTCTTTCTTTCTTTCTTTCTTTCTTTCTTTCTTTCTTTCTTTCTTTCTTTTTTTATCCTCACCTGAGGATATGTTTCCATTGATTTTTAGAGAATGTGGAAGAGAAAGGGAAAGATGGAGAGAAACATCAAAGTGAGAGGAACACTTTGATTGGTTGCCTCCTGCATGAGCCCTGACCTGAGCCCGTGCCAGGGAGGAGCCTGCAACCTAGGTCAGAATTGAACCCAGACCCTGCGGTGGGCAGGCCGAGACATTATCCACTGAGCCAAACCGGCTAGGGCAGGATATGACATTTCTTAGCCCTCCAGCAGTGGACCTTCCTTTTTTTCTCCAGGAGTGTGGTAAAAAACCCTAGATCACCTTATTGGATTCTTATTACCCAAGTTACTAAGAATATTACCAGTGGCATACAGGGAGCTTAGCCAATGAGCAGTCAGAAAAGGTGTTTCCTCTGTAGTTCACACCAATTGCTGCTTGACCCCTGCCCCCCAATCGCCCGCTCTGCCCCTGCCCAGGCCTAACACCTCTGGCTGAGTCATTAGGCCTGTGATCATGTGGAGCAGGGGTGGAGCCCACGATTGTAGGAGCTGGGGGGCCCACATGATCACTGGCTCTGCCCCTGCTCCCTGCGATCGCTGGCTCCACCCCTGCCCAGGCCTAACGCCTCTGGCCAAGGTGTTAGGCCTGGGCAGGGGAACCCCAGCTCTCTGCGATCACCGGCTCCCTCCCTGCTCCCCGCCATCACCGGCTCCCTCCCTGCTCCCCGTGATTTCCGGCTCCACCCCTGCTCCCCACCATCACCGGCTCCACCCCTGCTCCCTGTGTTCGCTGGCTCTGCCCCTGCCCAGGCCTAACGCCTGTGGCCTAGGCATTAGGCCTGGGCAGGGGACCTCTCAGCTCTGATTGCAGACTCCGATCGCCGCTGGCGCCTACATATGCAAATTAACTGCCATCTTTGTTTGGTTAATTTGCATATTCATCCGATTGGCTGGTGGGCATAGCGAAGGTATGGTCAATTTGCATGTTTGTCTATTATTAGGTAAGATTATGTGTTAGTTTAGTGCTTCTTGTGTCTCTTGAATTGTATTTGGTCAACATAATGGATGCAGGAGGTGGCACAGAGATAAGTATGATGAGAATTTGGAAGAATGGTGTAGGCTGGGGCTGTGGTCATTCAGAAAGGCCTCACAGAGAAGATGGGGTTCTGATATTGATTCTTTTGACATTAAATGGACCTTAAAGAATGGGCAGAAGTGGGACAGGTAAGGAGAAGAGGGAGAGAGTACTTTACATACAGTGTCTCATTTTTTTATGCCCTATAGAGTATTTGAATCTCCCCTTTACTAATAAAGGTTACAAAGTTCATAGAGGTTATGTCCCATGGAGTCATAATACAACTGGCAGATGAAGAAGTGAGAATTTAATACAGGTTTCTACAACCTCAAACTCTTTCATAGCCTGTGGGTGCCAAGGTAAGGCATTTGGGTTTTATTTTAAAAGTGATGGGAAGCCATTGTACGATGAAGGAAGGGAATGACAGAAATTATTTGATTACAGTTAAAGATCACTTTGTGGAAAATGGATTGGCATCAGTGGAATCAGGGAAGCCCAGTTATGGAGGAACTGCAGTAGCACTGACAAGAGACTAAACAATCCCAAACAATGCAGTGATGTTTTAGGAATATTTCATACTTTTATCTGAGCCTAAATGGGCCTAATGTTCTGGGAATTTCACCTCACATAAAATGAAGCATCATGATCCAATCCATGGAAGACCTGGAAAACTCTACAGCTATCTCAATCTTACCTGTTTAGCATTTTCTAGTACCCAATGAATGCTGAGAATAGAAAGTGTGACCTTTTCCAGGTGACCCAGAGCTACCCTCTGTTTCTTGGGGGCAAATGAGTAAGGGAGAAGGATAGCAATCCAATACTTTCATTTCAAAACTCTTTTCTAGTCAGGATTGAATAGTATGACTCAACCAAGTTTACTGTCTAGTCACTAAGATACAGATTACAGAATAATTAAGAGCTAATAGGGTGGCCACAAGGTCAACCACGATAAAATTAGGTAGATTAAGTACCATCAACACCTTAACAATTTATTTAGAATGACTCCTGTAAATGCCTTCTCTAAAGGTGAATTTACTATGGGGGGAATCACAGAACTTCCCCCACAAAAGGTAGCTCGAGGGCAGCTGCCGAGCATGGCCAAGAACTCTCCCCAAAGGCAACTCTGGCCAGCGTCATCAGGCTGCCTGCCTAACCGTGAATGCAAATTTCAAAATGTTTTCCTTCCTCTTTAACAATAATAATATAAATGGAACCACTTTAAAATGGAGCTGGCACCCTAACCAGTTTGGCTCAGTGGATAGAGCGTCGGCCTGTGGACCAAAGGGTCCCAGGTCGATTCCGGTCAAGGGCACAAACCTTGGTTGCAAGCTTCTCCCTGCCCGGGCCCTGGCCAGGGCTCATGCAGAAGGTAATCAATCGATGTGTTTCTCTCACATGGATGTTTCTCTCTGTCTTTCTCTCTTCTACTCTCCCCAAAAATCAATGGGAAAATATCCTTTGGTGAGGATTAACAAAAAATTTTTTAAATAAGTAAAAATAAATAAAATGGAGCTGGAGCTGCCATACCAGCTGAACTGCTATGCATGTCTTATGCTCAAACCTTGGAATGTTCAAAACAGGGCAAAATAACCTTTGGACTGAGCCTAAAGCAACATTGCTTCCCAAAACACTGTTTGCAAAGAAGAAAGCAGTTATTATGACTACTGGACTAAAAATTTAAAACATTGTTTAGAATTAATATCACTATGTTACCTGCACCAATGAAAATGTCTTGCTTCTGTTGATATCATTGTTCCCCTTCCCATTCTCACAAATGCCTTTGTCTCCTAATTGGAGTATTATTTTAGCTTCTGCTTGAATTAATGTTCCCCAAATAGTTATCCTTTTTTATCTCAATAAATGCATGTTGCCTCTCATTTTACAAGGCCTTTTATTTTTAGATTAACACTCTCCTTTCCTTAAAAAGGACACACCCTTGCCCGGCCCATATGACTCAATGATTGAGTGTCAACCTCTGAACAAGGAGGTCACGGTTCAATAACCAGTCAGGGTACATGCCCGGGTTGTGGCTTGATCCCCAGTGTGGGGTGTGCAGGAGGGGAGCTGATCAATAATTCACTCTCATCAATGATGTTTCTCTCTCTTTCTTCCTCTCCCTTCCTCTCTCTAAAATCAATAAAAACATATTTTTAAAAAAACACACCCTCTAAAGATATTTAAGTATCCTATCTAATAAAAGAGAAACATGGTAATTAGCGTACGACCACTACCCTTCCCATTGGCTAATCAGGGTGATATGCAAATTAACTGCCAGACAAGATGGCAGCCAGCAGCCAGGCAGCTGGAAGCGAACATGAGGCTTGCTTGCTTCAGTGACGGAGGAATCCAACGTTCCCCCCCTGCCTTGCCGGCCTCTGAGCTTGCAGTTTGAAACATTGTAACAAATATAGAAGCTAAACAAATTCCAGAAACCCGCTTTCAGCCAGCCAGGATCTCAGAGCTGGAGTTGATACAGTGTTTCGATTATAGAACCCAAACAAACCAGATACCTGATTTCAGCAGGCCTAAGAGCTGGAGCCAAGC